CGCATCCCCCGGGCCCCGCGCATTGAACGGGCCGCTCCGCCGCCCGTTCGCGCAGCGCCTCCTGCCGCCCCGGGGCGCCCCCGGCGCGGAGCCCCCCTCGCACACAGCCCGGGACACTGAGCATCGCTGTCCCCCTCCAGCTCGGCCCCAGGCTACCGCCAAGATGCTGCTTTTGCTGCTGGGCATCATCGTGCTCCACGTCTCCGTGCTGGTCCTGCTCTTCATCTCCACCATCGTCAGTGTGAGTACGAGCTCGCTGCCGCCTCCGTCGTGCCTGGGCAAGCAGGGGAGCAGCTGAGGAGGGAGATGGTGTGGGGAGATCTAAAGATATTACTTTTTATTCTTGGTGGTTTGTTTTTCCGCCTGGCTTTTAGCAGGAAACGTTCCACATTGCTGTTCTTGCTAACAGTGGGGTTTGGGAGCTTTTTGCACAGCTCTCAGCATGTAACCAGTGGGGAATGCAGGCTGTAGCACTGGCTACTGAGTGCATCCACGTTAGCATTTGAGTCCAGAGGAGCAGAGCGTTTTTGAAGCCAAATCTCCTGCCTGTCCCCTCTTGCCACATTGTGGAGCAGATGCAAACTGCTTTCATTTGGGGTGAAACTAAGCTGAAAGATGCATTGCCACTTATTAAATGTGCTCCAAATGCTGACAGGCATCAGGCCAGAGGACAGCTAGGTAGATGCCAGGTCCTCGGTCCCAGTTGCTTTTGCTCTCCAGACCTGCTGCTTTGAGGCTGCAAACACGGGCACAGCTTTGGTCTCTAAAACTAGATGGGCTCAGGGGTCCCAGCAGCACTCACTGGCCAGAGCCCAGTGAACCTGCTTCCTTGACTTGGTTTGAACACAGAAGTTTTGCTTCACTAGTATTCTTCTCTCTGCCCTCCCTCCTTTTTTTTTTTTTTTTTCCCTTCTGTGTAGCAGGCGAATCCTTTGCAAATTGCAAATTGCAAAAAAAAAAAAAAATTGCAAGCCGTTAGAGACCACGTGAGAGCATTCAAATTGCTCAAATGGCCAGGCTGGCCGCGGCAAGGGAGGGCGTCAGAGGGGGGAGAGCAGCGGGCTTCCCCCGCAAGGCTTGGCCGATGTTTAAAGAGAATAAAGGGCTTCTGTTGGGAAGCCGTTGAGGGTGAAAGCAGCTAAAGGCAAATATCAGTATTTACACTCCAACCGCTTTATATATTTAATAAAAAAGCCCTGTGCTTGGGAACACCCGTAGGGGTACTTGCATGCACAGACATGTGCACGTACATGTGTGCTCCAGCCCCGGGTTGTTTTCTGGGGATGCTGGAGCACGGGCTCATCGTGCTGGGTCTCTCTTGCAGCAATGGCTCGTGGGGACGGGGCACACAGCGGACCTGTGGCAGAACTGCACCACCGGCAGCGTCTTCCACTGCCTGACATCGTCCACGAACGGTGAGCGCCCGGCCTCGGCGTTGCAGGAGCGACGGGTATTCACCGGAGTTGGTTGCTGGTTGCTTGTGCTTCTCCTACCTGAAGCTGGTCCCTCCTCCATGGTCTCCTTGCTGCAGCTTCTGGCTCCCTGGGGCCACGAGTGCTCGGTCACTGGCGTCACTGGTGCAGGGGATCCTGGTCAGAAGCGTGGGCTGGGCTGGGGAAATCGCCCCGCGTTGCTTGGGAGTCTCTGAGGGCCGGATGGGGCCCAGCCAGGGCCGGAGCGACACCGCGGGTCTGACTGGCAGGGTCTCCCCGGTGAGGTGCTGAGCCCTGAGCAGAGCGGCCTCGGCTGGAGCTGGGGCGATGTCCCGGGGATGCCCCGGAGGACACCCAGCCCCTGCCTAGAAAGTGGTGCCACTTCTGGCCGTGGTGACAGCCCGAGGCTCTGTCCCTGCTCTCCCGCTGTGGTTTGCTGCCTAGTACTGCACACAGGACATGGCGATGCTCCGTCACCGCTCTCCTTCCCCTCCCGAGGACGTGACTCATAGGTTTTCTCTGCCACAGCTTTCCCTTTCCTCTCCCTTGCTTCGCCTGCCAGGCAGTGCCGGAGCATCCGAGTCCCACTGGGACCGCATGCCCTCTGCACTGGTCCCTGGGCACCTGCATGTTGCAGGTTGATGAACAGCTGGTATTTTCTGGGCTTTCTCACGTGTCTGAAGCTTTTGGTGGGGATGGAGCAGGCTGCGCTGGGGCTCTCTCCCTCTGGGTTGGTGCTGGAGGAGCTGCTCCATGCTGGGCTCCCCTTGGGCTGTCTGCAGCCCCAGGTAGAGCCTCGTATCACCCGAGGTGTCTTTCCACGTGTGCCCGATTTGAATGTCAGCAAGATAGGGCTTCCTACCACAAATCAGCAACATAGAGTTTTCTGGGTTTCAACACTAAGAGCAGTACTGGGTCTGCATAGAAAGCACCATTTTGCTCCTGCTCCTTTTTTTAAGGAAAGAGCCTGCTGGAATGGCTGGAATTCAGCCAATGCAAAGCGTGGGAGGTCACTGATAGCAGAGGCAGCTGATGAGGTGAAGGATGCTCCGTTCATCTGGGAGCAGCGGATGCCAAGGCAGGAGCAGGAGGGCAAGCAGGGCCAGGCTTGGAGTGCAGCAAGGCAGGGACATGGGCCGTGTAGGAGCGAGCGCGGCGAACCCAAAACACCCCCAAGGGCTCCTGCATGTGATGGGAGCCTCCAGCACTGCCCCAGGAGGTTCCTTTGGCTCTAAACTCTGGCTGCTGTTATCAAAATGCCCGTGAATACCCCATGCAGAAGCGGAGCAAGGATGTTTGTTCTCCCTCTAGTTTTACCTCTGCTAAAAGCAGGGCCTGGGCTGGGCCCAGGGTGGGAACCAAGTGACTCCGTTGGTCTCTGCTGACGCCTGGTGGTGTCTGGGCTGCCCGCGAAGCTGCTCCGGCTAGAGGTGCATTGGGTGGCTTTGGATATCGCGCCCTCGGCCAGCACTTATCTAAACGCAGGCTCTGCTCCGACATCTCCCAGGCATCTGCAAGGGATAGAGGCTCTGTCCCCTCCACCCCGTGGCAGGGTTGTGAGAGGTGCCCGTGTTTACCTGCTGGTACCCCAGCCCCTGGACACCCCCCTCACCAGTGCTGTGGAAACACAAAATAAGAAAATATTTCCTGTATTTGTGCAAGGCTTTCCAAATCTGCTTCTAAAACCAGCATAAGAACTCCAGGTGGCTTCTGGTGACATCGCCAGGGAAGCATCTTCTGTGGGATGCCACAAACAGTTCTCATCCAAATCCCGTGCAAGCTGCAGGCCGTGTGCCCAGGACAGTGCAGAGTGGTGACAAGCAGAGCACCCAGTGCCACCCAGCGCAGGAGATGCTTGCCGAGGAATTGGGCACAATGTAGCCTTTACATCATGGCTGATTGTCTTCTGGTCATCGTAGCGGTTGTTGCAGTGGAGTCGGTCTCTAGCACTTAACTACAGCAGGTGTGGACATCAGCATCAGCACTGAAGAGACGGTCCAGCATGGTTCAAACTGCAGCATGTGCGAGGGATGAGGGATCCTTGCCCCTAGCCAAGCAGGAGGGAGGAAGCATCCTGCTGGGGAAGATGCCCTCTTTTTTTGGAGATGCCTTCTTTTTTGGGCTCTTACAACTGCCTGCTGTTTGCTTGGATTTCTTCATTTACTTGCTGGATAATTACATTTTTCAAGAGGCAGAGAACTATGGAAAAAATGTCGCAATCTTTGCTTCATTTGTGCTGTCAGACATTCCTGGAAAAGACTTATCTCAGGAATTCGGCTCCGAATCCCAGAGTTGTGCTTTCGCAGGGCTGGGAGCCAGACTCTCAGCTGTGTAACTCCACAGAAGTCATGGATGCAGAAAGTCTAACCTGGATAACTCAAATGATCTTATACAGATGCCATCAAAAATTTTCAGACAACTGTTTTTCTTTCAAAAAATGGCTTCTTCTCTCCAGCCTGATTTTGTTTTTTATTGTTGTCAAGATTTTTTTTTCCTACCACCATTTCTTGGATTTTGATGGGAATGCCAAATGCATAAGGAAGCGAAGGGTATCTCTTCATCCTTACACCCTTCTACAACCTCGTGAAACATTTTTCCTTTTTTCTTCTGAACATTTCTCACCTCACCACTCTGAGACTTCTGCATGCTAGCTTGTTCAAAGGCAGCATGGTGGGTTTTTTTTTTTTTTTTTTTTTAAATAAAAAAAGGGAAGAAGTCCCAAGCCCTGGGAAATGTGCAAAACACCAGTGCTGTGGTTACAAAGTGCCGTGGAGCCAGCTCCAGAGTGGATATCTGCCCCTGAACAGCACAGCCCTTCGCTTTAATGGGGCTGGGGATTGCTCGGATGTTTGTGCATTCCGACTGCCCCTTCCTTGGGGCTGCTTTGCTGGCCTTCCCTGCATTGCTCTGTCTCTCCTTGGTGGCTTCGGACCAGCTCTCTCCAGCCGGAGACACTGGCAGCAGGATCAATGTGAGACACCAGCCTGGATCCCTCCCAAGCCTCTCCATGAATCCCATGTTTCTACAGAAAGCATCATTTAAGGGAAAATCCCCTCCTGTGGTTAAGTGCCAACGGGACACGTGCCCATATGACACGGGCTAACTGGAAGTGGTGGAGATCCTGCTTGGGGAATTGCTGCTTTGGCAGGACATGCTGGTGCTTGAGATGCAGTTTCAGTGCACTGGAGGAAGCAAGAGCCACCTGCAGCCCTTGCACGGTATGAGGAGCTGTGCTCCAGCCCCTGAACTGCTCCCATGAGGAGCTGCACTGCTTTTTGTGCACTTCAAAATGCAAAACAGAAATATGACTTAAATACTTTTGCTGTGTCAAGTGACTTTGCTATCCTTGCTCTCTCAAACTCTCTCCCAGCAATGTTTCAATGCACAGACCTTCTAAAAGGAAGTTTTGGATACTCACTCGTTAAATACATTCCAACTATAGATGCACTAAGATTTTTTTCTTTTTCCTTTATTTTGCTATTTAATGCTGAGAAACAGGGAAAAAAAAAAACAGATGGGATAAATAAACACCTGCACTAGGGGTAGCAGTGAGCCTGGGTTCATGATTCCCCTGCTGTGAGGACAGTCACATGGCATTGGAAATGTCTCAGGAAAAGTAGTTTCTCTTTTACTTCCTCTGATCTTGGACCATTAATATACCCTAAATCTCAGCAGGTGAGGGTTGTTGGCAGGCTCCCACCAAAGTGAGTGTCCCTGCTGCTTTACGTTGTCTACTAGGGACCATCTCGATGGAGGTGATGGCCAGGACAGGCAGGTGTCTCCCGGAGGAATGTTTGGCTTTGGGGACCTGGCTTGTCCTCGCAGCACCCCCTTTCACTGCCCAGGGGAACCTTTTTGCACCGGGTCTGTGAGCTGGTTGTGGGATGTTCTAGACACTGCTCTTTGTGGCCAAAAAGTGATGTTGCAAGGCTTTACTAACCGCTCCCACAGGAAAGTTATTTCTCGATATCTATTATGGATAGTGAGTATAAAATATCTGAATGAGAAGAAGTAGGGACAAATATCACACTGGCCCACTGGAATAGAAGAACCTGGAAAGAAAACGGGTCAGGACTTGTGGAGTGTGTTTGTCTCTGGCAAGGGGAGACTTTCTTGAGCCAAAAGGTGAGATGCAAGTGACAGCCCAGGCCTCTCTGCAAAGCAGAAGCTTCTATTGAAAGATTTGAAATTAGTTTTCACTATTTATTCATTGTGAATGTAACCTTCCAGACGTTATCTTGTGCTCCCTTGTGGAATCTGCATGCAGAGAAGATTTGCAGACTTTGGTTTTATTTCTGCTGCGTAGCTAGGAACGGACAACATTACCACTATTTAGGGATGTTGCATTTGGTACAAGGAAACACTGCAGGAAATAATGGATAGTCTCTATATTTGATAACGTGCAGCCTCCGCATTGGAGGCAGCAGCTACTAACTAGTCCCGTTCTCTGTCCATGGACCGTGTGTAAAGATACCTTGGTTAGATGACACTGCAGGTCCTTTGGGGTCTTTGGGCTTCCCAGCAGAGAGGAGAGATGTACTGTGATCTCAGAAGTTTGAGATTCTGGAGTATCTGCTTGGAAATTAATGACAGGTAAGATTGGCCAACCATGGTCTGCATTGAACCACTTCTGCCAACATGTGGGTAACTCTGGCGTGGCCTTTAGTGGACATAAAAATAACTGTCTTGCATCTTGGGAGAATGTTTTGTATTTTGGAATGGTTTCTACCATAACTGTGTCGCCTACAATATGAAACGGATTTCATCAGCTTAAAAAAAAAAAATTGTTGTTGCCGGTTCTTGTTGCAAAGAGCATGTGATGTGGAGAGATTAGAGACCAGGCTGTTTTTCCTGTTTTTGGCTGCTCACTAACTCTTCAGCTGCCGTTTTTGGGCAGGCAGGGGGTCAGCCAGCTGTTCCCACTCTGTTGGGCATTTTGGATGATGTGGAAGAGGAACAAAAGGAGGAAGAATACAACATATGGGAGAACTGTAACTGTAAGACCCGTAGAATTGGGTGTCGGAGCCCATTGCAGAGTGCAGTGCCTGGAGACCCTTTGGAGACATAACATTTTAGGGCTTGGTCAGACTTGTAGGTGTCCACTTCTCTATCTCCATCCTTGCAATCGTCCTCCTGAGCTACCAGCTGGACTCACCTTCATTAAATGTGACCCTACGTCTGCGTGACTTTTTAGGATCTCAGTCACAGCTTTACCGTTTTTGATAGCAATATTGTGCTGCTGTTCTCTCTCTTTCAACTTCGGGCCCTCCCTGGAAGTAGAGGAGCTGCTCATGCAGGAGACAAGAGCAAGAAAATGGCCTAATGCTGGAGCAAGGGTCATGACCTGCTACCCCACCACAGTGCAGTGAGCCCTGAGAAGCAAAGGGACCAGCATAAGGGTCATGCTCCACTGTGAGAGTCTGGGAGAGGAGCCGGCTGGGATATTTTGGAGCTGTTGCAAGGGGGAAAGGCGGTTTGTTGGTGCCAGCAGCTGCCGCCCCAGGACATGGGCTTCAACAACCAAAGGGGCCATTTCTGCAGCCTCACAGCTGAACCACAAAGATATGAAGTAGCAGCAATGTGAAGGGGACAGCTCCAGAATCCATCTGAATCCGACAGCTCTGGAGACCCGTGGACTTTGAGAACTCTTTGATGTTGCTCGGAGGGCAAGAGGGAGGGGAGAGAGGAGGAAAAGAGAGGGCTTTGGGGATCTCATCCCCTCCTGAAGGGGCTGGGAAGCCTCCTCAGATCCCTCACTTTGAGCTCTTTCATATGCAAGGCCAGGCTGCACGTGTTGTGAGGTCCATGGTGCCTGCCAGGGAGGAGCTGCAGCAGCTTCTTCATTTGGCGTCTCCCTGAGCTGCAGTCCTGGGGGCTTCCCACCTTCTCATCCCAGTGCCATTCAAATGCCTCAGAGCTCTTTAAAACCCTCCTTTTCCCAAGACTTCCCAGGGACACCTCCATCCAACATGCTGTGCATGGGACAACAGGGAAAAGGCAGCTGCTGGGCATAAAACCTGCTTTTCATTGGGGTGAGACTTGACAATCCTCCGTAATCCCAGCCGTGCTGGTGGGAGTTTGGGACCAAGCCGGAGGGAAGTTACCGTTCGCCAGAGCTGGCCTTTTCCCAGGAAAACCTGCAGGCAGCCTGTCTGGATGATGCTATTCCCCCTCACAGTGCAGGTGGAGGTTTGGTCTGAAGCAAGAGGATGTGGCTGCTGGCAGGGGGTGGCTGTTCCAGCTTTATGGGTCTCTGTGTCACTACAACGAGCTGCCAAGGGGCAGTGTTTTGAGACCAGCTGCAGAAAGGTGCAACTGAGTTGGTATTTCTCCATCTTTGATTTACCCTTCTGCAGCTCAGTTTAAGAGGTTGGATAGCCAGACTTAAATCCATTTAAGTCTCTGCAATTCTCACTCAGCCTAGGAAGGATGCTGGGCTCTGTTTGGCTTCATGATCAGATCCTGAAGCCTAAGGGTTGGCTTTGGAGACGCTCTGCTTGGGAGACATCTCTTCCCGGCACGCTCGGCTAGTAAGTGCATGTGCTTTTCTGGACTCTGCTCATCTTCTTTGGTTCATAGCATTGAAAGAGCAGGTTTTGCTTTGCACACATTGCCTGGAATTACCCCTCAGGTTATTCTTGTACAAATTATATACAAGAGCCTCTTTAGTGGATGTTATCTTCCCTGGCAGGGGTCAGATATTGAGGGTACAGCATGTGCACAGTTTTCAAAGGGAACCATACCTGTGTAAGATGGTATTATAAGCTGCACGTGACAGCACACAGATGTTTTTATCACATAAAACTAATTTAGTCCTGCACAGTGGGCATTAGTGGAAACTGATGGCTCAAACTGGTCTCTCTGCACTTCAGAGTTTCCCCTCTGGTTAAAACCAAGATAGCATGTCTGCAATTGAGCAGCAAACTCAAGCCTGGGGAGAAAATCTTTAAGCTGATCCTTGCTCTTGGCCAAGAGTACCTCCCTGTCTGCCCCATGCCATTGATCTCACTCAGCTGCAGCCCTCGTTGGGGTATAAAACCTCCCTGTTTTTGTGGGAGGTGCTGGGTTAGTTGTTTTCTCTTTCTTGGGGATGTGGCTGTGATCCTGCTCTAGGTTTCTTGCTAGGCTTTAGGGCAGTGAAATGTGGTTGTTGTGATCTTGGAGGGAAACTCTGAGATGTTCTTGGTGACTTTGCTGTGAGGATGTGAGTGGTGATGTGAGTGTGTCAGGGCTTATGCAGCTCAGGGAAAGTTTAGCTGTTTCATAGAATCATAGAATGCTTAGGGTTGGAAGGGACCTCTAGAGATCATCTAGTCCAATCTTCTAAAAGCTTCTTCCTGAATTTCTGACTGGATGAAAAGGCTCTGAAAAAGCTGCAGCTGGAGCCTCTAGGGGAGCTCTGCATGGGAGTTACTTGCTCTTCCCATCCCATTTCTTTCTCTTCCTCCTCCTGAAGAGCAGTGTTGCTAGCAGGGACCTCAATAGATGCTGCAGAAAAGTGGGATAACTGGCTTACTGCCTCGGGGAAACTGCAAATACCTGTCTGAGAGCAAAACCAGGGTTGGTGGCTACAGTACAGCCTGCAGGGTCTGGACCTCCCTCTGGGAAATGTGTTTTATTTCTAAAAGCCTATATAAGCTAGTGCCAAAGAAGTATGTAGGGTTGGAGAGGTAGCAGTACTTTCTGCATTAGTGGCAGAGCTCTCAGATGGATTAAAGGCAGTGTGGCCTCCTTGTGCAGCTGGAGCTGGATGTGCTGAGCGGGTATCAGCTTGCTGCACCCGTGGGGTCTCAAAGCCATGACATGAGGTGAGCATCACGGCCCTTCTCACATGAAAGAGGCTGCTAAATGTCAGCGAGCGGCTGCCTGGCAGTGCAGCTGGAGATCTGGTCTCTGGTATTATCTCTTAATTGCCCTTTTGGAGCCCTGCGGCTGCTGTGGCCATGGCCAGATGGCAAAACCCTTCCAGGCACCGTCTCTTCCTCTTGCTCTCAGTGGTGGCCTTTATGTTTCTTGTCACGGCTCTTTATTGCAATGGGAATTTGTAGTAGCTGGATGAAGCGTTCACTTTCAGGAGCAAAACGGAGGCCCAGGGAGGCGGATGCAATTAAGAGCAGCTCAGCTCCGTTTTTCCATCTAGACGGCCGGATCTTAAAATAGTTTTACAATTGGAGCACCCACCTCCGGGCAGCAAGGGAGCTGCCACGAGCCCTCCTGTCCGGATCCCGCAGCCTATGAAATCACAAAAGATTTGGCTTCCCGGATCCTGAATTAATGCAGCCACAGAGAATATGACAGTTTAGTGACTGTGCCAGGTGCCTTCTTGCCATCCCCTTCCCACAAGATCCGAGCATCAAGGAGGAAAATCAATGCTTTATGACTTGCTTTTTTTATTGTTTTATTTATTTATTTTCTTAAGCAGCTCTTGAGCTGTCTCTGCTCTGTTTCCAGGTGGTTTAGCAGGTCCAGAGAGTGGAAGGGTTTCGCATGGCTCAAGGCCTGGCTAATATGAGATATGCCAAAAATGTTCCCTAGGTTTTGCCTATATTAAGAAAACAAACAAACAAATAAAAACCCCAAAAAACACAATCAAGCCTGGAGTGGTGTCTGCTGGAAGGAGTCACAGTGATAGCGCTCGCCTAAGGAGCGGCGGCAGCCGATGTGCACGGACACAGCCCCGGTGGGTTCGGAATGAGTGAGATGCAGCAGCTCTTTAGCAGGACATGCCAGTGCTGTGAGGGAAGGAGGGGAGGCAGAAAGCTGCCTGCAATGAGCAGGCACTGTACTGGTTCTTCTCTCCTTGCATCCATGAGCAGGATCTGGATCTCGCCTTTGCATGGACACTGGCAGGTGGGATGCAAGGGGGGCTCCCATGGGCATGGATTTGCTCCCCTCTTGCAGAGCTGCTGGCGCGGGGGAACACGGTCTGTGCTGGTCTGCTCGAAGGCTGTAGTTGAATCTCTGCAAACAGGAGGCTGCGGTTCAGGAGGGTTCAGTGCTGCAGCAGCTTCCCCTGTCTGAGGATCCAGCCCATATCATGCATCCCTGTCCCTGCCTCCAGACCGTAATGACTATTCCTGCCTGATGTCTGTGGTGGATTATCCTATGTGGCATCTTTAAAGGCCTCTGGAGAGGTGCAGGCGTGCTGAGAGCATCTCAAGCTTCACAGGGAAACGCAGTGCTATTTGCTAGCATGGCCCTGTGCTAGTGGCGTGAGGCACTGCCTCTTTCTGTCCAGCTGCAATAGATTGGCATTTGGCTTGTTTATGTTTTTTTTATTATTATTTTTTTTTAATGTGGGGAGTTACACACCCAGGAGGAGGCCTGGAAATAGCTGGGCCGTGACTCATGCAGGGCTGGTGGAGCTGCTCTGCTCTGTGCTGCAGCTAAGTTTGGCAGCTGGCAAAGCCTCTTTCCAAAAGGCCTGAACCCGTAAGGGCAAGTGGTGTTTGTGCTTGTGGCGTATTTATTTTAGCTCTGAGCATGCCTGGCTCAGTGTCTCGTGGCTTGTTGCGTGGGTTTTTGGTAGAGCTGAACAACCAGGCCCTGAACCGAAGCTGATGGTGGGGGGAACAGCTACTTTGTCCTCATCTCTGCAGGCTTTGCCTTGCTACCAATATCTCCTTATGTGCCTGGTAGTGTATTTTTTTTTTGTATTTATTGTATATTGTACATTTTTTTTCCCCCCTAGAATGGCTGCAGTCTGTCCAGGCGATGATGATCCTCTCCATCATCTTCAGTGTCTTGTCCTTATTCCTGTTCTTCTGCCAGCTGTTTACACTCACCAAGGGAGGACGATTTTATGTTACTGGAATCTTCCAAATCCTTGCTGGTAAGTGGGAATGGATAAGGGGATGCTGATTCTAAGGCAGTGCAGGGAAAGTGCTTTTGAGTGGGGAAGGAGGGCTAATAGTGAAAACAAGCATGCTCTGAACACCAAAGCAGGTCCAGCTTGGTTGCTACTTGCTTGCAGCTCATGTGGGATGATGCAAAAGGCAAAGATGAGCTGGCTTTTCCTGGGAATAGGAAGGATGCCCAACTGGCACCTATATGAGCTGATGAGAAGAAGGTATGAAAAATTCATCTCTCACTGAATGCTTGGATGCCCAGAGCTGGTTTCCAGCTTTTGGTGTGCGTGGCACATTTCCTGAGCTTCTCTGGGCCACCTCTGCAGAAGGTGGGAGGCCACCACATGCCCAGCTGGGGAGGTTCCTGTGATGTTTCACTTCAGGACCTGGGTGATTGCCCTCCCAGTGGTGACATCTCAGGACATTTCACTGTCCTCGGGATCCACCTTTTGCTGAGCTGGGCAAGGAGGTTCCCTGGCTGATGATGGGGGTGGGAAGCAGTGACGCTGCTTTAGCAAAACAGGCTCCAAGGGCTATTTTTAAACTTGCTGTTGGGGGCCTGGTGCTTTCCACAGCTGCTAAGAGCCACCCTAGCAGGCAGGGCGAGATGGCTGTCTTTGAACTTTCAGCTACTATTTTTAACTCTTGGAGAGCTCAGCAGTGGAAATGAACCACTAGTCAAGTCATACGTTGGAGTTCTCCAAATACAGATGTAAAGTATGGATTTATTTGGAATTTCTATGCATGAAACCAGTGATGAGGCTTTCCAGGTGTTAAGACTTCAAAAAGCTAATGTGAATAGATTTGAGTTAAATATTCTTACCCCAAAAAAACAGCTCCCTGAGGAGACCTTCACTAACTGGAGCTTTACATGCTAAGCTGATCCCAAATCACCCTTGGTCCTGCCTTGGTCTGCAAAAAATTCATCTGCTGAGCTTTAGAGAAAGCTCCTGAGCACCCTCTAAGCAACTGGCCAGTTTATAGATTAAAAACTCCGCAAAACTATTAATGAGTATAGCATGAAATTCACTGTGAATGTAGATACATCGCCATAAAGTGGGTGCTGAGAATGCCAGTTCACCATGTCTGGAAAGCTAAATATCTAGAAACCCATTACAGCTATGGAGGCAAGGAGAGGAAATGGACATTAATAATGCAGTTGTTAGAGTGAGAACTTGTCTAATAGACCCTGGAGCAGGAGGTTCCTCTCTCCTAGATGGCAGCTGGTGATTCCTGGCTCTTAGTGCAAGAGAAAATGGGTCTGCAACCACTTTAGGCCTCTCCCAGGTTGCTCGGGCAGCCCCGCATGGTGTCCTGCATTCAGCTGCCCAGGGTGGAGGCCAGTGCTCCTAGGGCTTTCATGGGCTTGTGCCCTCTGGGTTGAGGCTTGATCCATCCCTATGGCTGCTGTGAGCAGTGCCACTCTGCCCTCAGACTGCTGGAGGAAGAGGTACCCCCTCCAAGGTGGTGTATTGCCTCACTGATGGCACTCAGAGAGAGTTTCCCACATGAGTTAATTAAAAATAAATAAATAAATAAAGGGGATGGGCGTGGCAAGGAAAGGGATAGAGAGACCTTAAAGCAGTCTGATCATCATGGTTCAGTTTAAAACATGGCTGGAGCAGGACTGAGCTTGGCAAAGCTGCGTGTGCTGCTAAGCTCAAGCTTTGAAGCTGCGATGCGTCCGTGCTTGCATCAGCACAAGCAGCCGAATGCCGCTGCCCTTGACCTCCTGCCCTGTGCCCCTTTCAGAGTCTTCTCCCCCAAATCCCTCATTCTGCAGCCCAGAAACGCGGCTGTGACTGTTGCCTCCGTGTTGCCGAATTCCTCCTGCGGACAATCGCGACTGTATTTTCCGCTGTCCGTAGGTGCTGCTGGCACGGCCGCGAGCCTGTGCTCTGTCCCACCGGCGCCGGGGACAATAGTTTTGCTTTCTGTGCATGGGCCGGGGCAGTGGGAGTCTGCTCGCGTGCTCAGCGAATGGAAAGTGCATTGGCGGCGCGTTAATGAAGCGTATTCCCACTTCTGCACTTTTGCTGAACAAAGGGGCAGTGTAAAGTGGAATTAGGGCTCAAATATCACTGGGGAAATGTAGGTGGGCCTGAGGTCTGCGCAGGGGATTTGGAACATGGCTCTGACAACGGCCCAGTGCCCGTAGAATAGAATCACTGGGATTGACTGAAAGACCTTGTTTTCAGGCAGAAATAGTGGGTGCTTTGTGTTAGCTCTAGGCAGACCCCGGTGCTGATGGGTTGCTTTGCAAACAAAGCTAAAGTGCTGGCTAATGCACCCGGCTGGCCACGCATCGGTTGCCCGCGCATCCTCCTGAAAAAGGCTGGGGCATTGGGGTGGATTGGAGCGCAAATACACGTGCCAGGGTGGGATCTGCAGGGAAACGTGGGGCTTGGCTGACAGCTCCTCTCTGCAGCTTGGACTGCAGTCGGGTTTTGGGGAGCCATCCCGGAGAGCAGGGTCCAGCCGTGCCTACCTGGTGCTGGGCACCTCCAGCATCCCAGCAGGACGTCTTAGTCCAGATGATGTTCCTGCTGCACTTGCTGCAGCACTTGTGGCTTTGCTTGCTCTGAGCTGTAGGTGGGGATGCCCCCATTGCAGCCAGCATAGCATGGCAGACCCCCAAATGTGCCACAGCAGTTTTGCAGGAGGAAAGTTAAGAGGAGGGCATGGAAAGCGCAAGGTTCTCGCTGGGGGTGTTGGGCGTTACGGTCTCCGGTGAGGCCGGCGCGGGGCTTGCGGCCGTCGCTCACGTCGCGTTTCGCCCGCAGGGCTCTGCGTGATGAGCGGCGCAGCCATCTTCACAGTGAGGCACACGGACTGGCAGCCGCCCGCGGCTGACGTCGCCTTCGGCTTCGCCTACATCCTGGCCTGGGTGGCCTTCCCGCTGGCCCTCATCAGCGGCGTCATCTACGTCATCCTACGGAAGCGCGAGTGAGCCCGCGGCGGGGCCGCGCGGGGCCACTGCTGATGTCCCCGGAGGAGACAGAGGCGGGGGAAAATAGACGAGAAAACGGAATAGAAAATTAACCAAAAAAAAGAGAAAAAACAAAAAACACACACAGAGAAAAGGAATAAACCCTCCCACCAACACCCAACCAACCCCAAAAGGAAACACTCAAAGGGTTACTTGTTAATTGAAGATGTATATAGTATCTATGGTTTAAAAAACCTATTTATAACACTTTTTACATATATGTACATAGTATTGTTTGCTTTTGTTGACCATATGCTATGTTTTAAAGCCTAAAGAAAGTGCCTAAAGAACTATTACTCCTAACAGTGTAACATGAGCGCGGTGAATTTCTTCTTTCATGCAAAATCCGCTTTGACCTGGTCCTTCTTTCCCAACCCCAAATAAATACTTAGGAGAGAGAGAAAAAGAGGGGAAAAAAGGAGGAAAAAAAAAAAAAAAAAAAAAAAAAAGAGCCCTGCCTGCTTTTAGGTTGGCATAAATCAGTGCTGCTCCCCTGACCAGGGCGGCCTCGTGCCGGCTGGAGGGTCGCCCCGCTCCTTCCCCAGTGCGGCGATCCTCTTCACCAAAGTGCGTGCACAGGGATGATGGGAGACGCTTCCCAAAGGCTCCAGGGCTCCCGGAGCGCCAGCTTTACTTGCCCCAAGTGCCTAAATGACTTGCGTGCCTAAGTCCCCTGGCCTCGCCATCACACCCCCTTGGGAATTTGGGCTCCCGACTCACTTAGGTCCCGGCCATGCTCCTCGGGTCTGGGTTCCTGCCGGGATGCTCCAGGGCTCCGGCAGGTCGCCCAAGCCAAAGCGCTGGGACGTCGTGACCTCGGCGTGCACTTTGGCCTTGCCGCCTGGATAAACTACCGATGGGATGGACGCCACCCCGGCATATCTATGAAATCAAATACTAGATATATGAAATGGTGCTATCTATTTACCATTCCTTATACTGCTAGCCATTTAACCTTATTCACTGGAAACTCAGTTAACAACCTGGCGGTAAACAACAACGCTAGAACCGTGAAATAATTCTGTGTAATATAAGTGATCTATAACTCCTTTTTGTACTTAGATGACTTGCTCTTGCTGTTATTTTTAATAAAGCATTTATAACCAAGGTCCCCGTTTTCCTCCCCTGTGGTCAAGAGGAGCAGAAACGGCTCCGGGGGGAGCCCCGCGGGTCCCCGCTGCCGGAGCGGGATGTCTGTCCTCCTCCTTCTGTGCGTCCCAGACGGGTCTGGCAATGACTCGAGCAGGCAGCCTGCTGCAGCCTCCCCTGGGCTGCCTTCTGAGGACTCCAGACACCGTCTTGCTGTCGTTTCTGTGTCATTTCTTTCTCTTTTTTTTTTTTTTTTGGCTTTGCTTTTCTGATTTTATACCGACTGTGTGGGCTAAAAAGCAGTGAATAAAAAAGTCAGAATAACTCAGTGGCTTCTGCTTTTTGATTCATCACGGGCTGGACTGGGGCTGCGCGCTACAAGTCTGCTCACACGAGCTCCCCATCTGCCTCCTTCAGGGTCAAATTGGTGCATTTTGGGTGGAATCTGGGTGGATTTGTCCATCCTGCTGAGACAGGTGCTGGGTAGCTGGCCCAGGCACCTATGGCACAGGGGAAGCAGCTCTGAGCCTGCTCTTCCTGCTTTGCTGGGAACATCTGAGACCTTTGGTGAGCCACTAAATAGCACTAGGTAGAGACTTGGGAGCAGAGGGAACTGAGCTTGATGTTGGGGCCCCATGGGGGCCATACATCTCACAACTCCCCCAAAAGTTGCGCATTTTATCCCTGCATCAGCTGAATGTAGTGAAAACCTTGGAGAGGCACCAAAGCTTGTGGCTGGGTCGGGAGTGGAGCTCTGGGCCCTGTGCTGCGGGCTCATTGTGGTTCTCTTTCCTTGCAAGGCTCTCCCCTGTGATCGTGTCATGAGGCTGTCCTGACCTTGAGGGTGCGATTAAGGAGAGCAAGGGGTTGGCACCATGCGAGCAGAATGTGCAGCCCTGGTGGCTGGCACGGAAACGCTTGTGCTTCCACCCACTCCATCATCCGTCTACGACACGTCTGAGCTCTCCCAGCACCTGGGCCTGGCAGCCGTCCAGAGGCTCTTGCAGGGCCACATGTTGAGACCAGTTATTAACGCTGGCCCCATCCCGGGGCCCGTGCCCAAACGTGTGCTCCCAGCGCCGTGCTCGGGAGGACATCCTGTCGCGGTCGTGACCCTGGTGATGGCTTGAGGCGAGGAACCACAGCGGAACCACCCTGCAGCACCGAGCCGAGCGGGAGGTTTTCCTGGCGAACCCATAACCTGATGCCCAATTAAGTGACTCTAAAGCACTGTCCATGTTGTTGCTGCTCAACGTGTGGCCACCACGGCTCCCAGGCACATCCCATGGGGAAGGAGCAGGAACTGCCTCGCTCCTCCCAAGCCCTCGAGCAGTGCCAGGGCAGGCAGCATCACTGCTCTGCACCCGCGCTGGCTCCCGCATCCTGCCTCTGGCTTCCTAAAGGGGAGCATTCCCCTCCATGCTCACTACGGGCAGCTTGCTGCCCTCCTGCTAAGCCTGGACGGTTACGTCGTGCTTGCGGGGCAGGACTCCAAGTCCGTGGAGAGCAAAGGCACGTAGGGAGCGCCGCGGAGCAGAGCCAAGTGTCCAGCCCCGCGTCCCGCTGCCTCTGCAGCCTCGGCCTCGCTTGCGACCACAGCAACACAAATATCTCGACTGAACTTTTCTGAGCGTGGGGCAGGAGCTTGGGGTGGGAAATGCTGTTTTTTAATTTTTGTTTCCATTTCTCAGAACAAAAAATAAAAGAGGCTGACTGCTGCATTTTTGGCCTGGAGCGGTGCCCTGCTCCCAGCCTCTCTGTGTGACGCTGGCCAACGTGCAAGCTGAGCAAGAGGCATTGGCTCTAGCAACGTTTCAGCCGCCCGTAGTTGCTTCATCTTGGGGAAATTTTTCAAGGGAAAGGAAAACAAAATGTCATTTGAAGTGGAAACAAAGTGAAGGTTTGGATCTCCCCTGGAAAGGGCAACTCCAAGCTCTTTGCAAGGAGAGTCCAAAAGGGAAATTTCCACCTATTTCCACTGGATCTAATGCTTTCCCTCACCCAACCAACTCACTTGGGCTAATCACTGGTGGTTGGAAAATGCCAGCTTCTGTTACTCAGGTACCAACTGTGTTTTAAACATGCCACACACCTCGGGAGCCTCCTGGGGTCCAAGTTAGGGAGTGAGACTTGGATGGTACGGCTGATCCCTCTGCGAAAGACCCTTTCACAGCATGGGGGTGGCCTCGGGTGGTCTCTCTTGATCTTTTCATTTCAGTCAGTCTGGTTCACTTTGGTGCCTTGGCAGACACCATCAGGGCACATTTGGGGAGCTTGGTCACTGCTGCTTTGCTCTCCTGCTGCCAGCACTGCCAGGCTGGGAGCACCCGGGGCTTCGATTTGCCAGAGGGTCAGGGACTGAGTGGTGACAGCAGCCCCACAGGACTCTTGGTGCACACAAGAGAGATGTGCATTTGGCACGACGGTCCCCTTGCAAGGCGGGCATCGTCGAGCCCGGTGCCGAGCAGGAGGACAGCCCCAGGGATGCGATGCCCCCCGGTCCCGGCGTCGGTGCCCTCGCTGCGCAGCCGAACCCCCCGGGATGCTCTGCAGGTCCGGAGGGCACCGGGCTCGGGCTGTGCCCGTCCTTGTCACGGTGGCAGTGGGGACAAGCGCGGTGCGAGGCCGCCCCCCGGCGGCGGACGGGGGGTCCTGCGGGCCGGGGACACCCTTCCCTTGGGCCCCGCGGCGATCGGCCCCGAACCCCGCTCTCCTCTTAGGATTTGGGATCTTTTTTTGTTTACCTTTTGTTTTAAGCCCGGAGCGTTGCACGGTCGCGGTGTCGCAGTGGGGAAGAGAAAGCCCCGTGTGCGCTTGGGTTTGTCTGCACCCCCCGAGGCCAAGAGCTTCAGGCACTGGGCACGCAGGGCTCAGTCCTGGGGACAGTGACATCGAGGGCTGCTCCCACCAGGCAGATCCTTCCACGGGTCAGAGCACAGATGGGACTTCTCCCTGTTGGGAGCTGCTGGGTCACCCAGAGTGACTCAGAAATGCTGAGAGCTCCAGAGGGCTGTAGTCACATTTCCTGCAGGGAGTGGGACAATCTCTCACCCAATATTGAGTTAGGATTCATTCTTGGAGCCTTGAAAACCTCTCAGTATGGAGAATCCCTGATATCCCTGGCCAGCCACTTAACCTTCTAGTGAAAAACTCTTTCCTTAAGAGACCATGCCAGGCCTGAATCCACCCCTTGTTACATTCCATGTCCAAATCTCAGCCCAAGAGCTCGCCTCCCTGATGGAGCTGCAGACCAGCAGTGTTCAGGATGGGGAATCTTCCTCGGCAGGGCAGCAGAGAGCAGGAGTGAGCACGGCAGGGTCCCTGCGTGGGGGAGGCCGTGGTAGATCCTGGCAGGTACCAGGAGGGGAATGGGCACCCATGGAGGGGCAGACTGATGTGGCCTTGGCCATGAAGGTGGCCTAATGCATCCTGGGCTTTGCACAGTGTGCCTCAACCAATTTTGTTATGGATAAAGCACATCAGCAGCTCCAGACATTACTTTCCAAGTGGTCCTCTCTGCCGTCACCACCTCCTCCTCCTTCCAGGGACATCCCCCTGCTTGACTCCCTGCCCCTGGGCTTTCTGTCCTGAGGCTGCTGCCATCCCCTCCTGCTTTAGAGCCTCCCCAGCCGCATCCAGCTGCACGCACGGGTTATCAGTCATGTCAAGAGCCCAATTCCCTGTGTGCCGCTCTCTCCCAGCTCACGAGATGACAAAAGGCATTAAGGCAGGACGCAGCATTTCTGGCCGATCAGCAGCAAGCATGTTCCGAGCTAAATGGGACTCCGGAGTTTCAGTGCACCCTGGGGCTGCATCCCAATTAAGGCTGAGAAAGCCAATAAAACAGCTAGCAGAGCAGCAGCAATATGGGGAGCAGTGGCAAAGAGGGCTTGAAAAAATATTAGGGACGTTTCTTTAATATGTGTTGCATCATAAAAGTAATTGTTTAAATGGCTTTTCTAGTGCTCTCAGCA